AAATATATATAAAAAACTACGAACACCTAAATATATAAAAATATTATGACTCAACAAGTTTATATTTATTGCTAGTTGCAACTAAATTATTAAAAAAAGTTTTACGTAGTTTAACCTCGGGAAGTTTATGTTAACTTATTTACATTTATTACTTTAAGAGAACGCGTAAAGATTTTTAAAAGATAGAATATACCTACTACGTTTTTACGGCATCTTTAGAATTTACCATTTAAATGATTTCAAGATGTTTTAATATAATTTTAAGCAATTTACTAAATGACGTAATTCCTGGTGTCAGTTGTGCTTCCTTTAATTATTATTGCATGATCATAAAATTATTCAAATTTAATTTAATTTGTACTATTTTATAATTCTGAACTCTAGATCTTTATTGTTAATTTAAAGTTTTTCCACCTTTTAACAATATAACGAGAAATATTGTAATGATAACCACGATTTATAATTAATGACTTACTAGAATATCATCATATATAATATATATCATAAAATTGTCGCACTTTCATAAGTATATACTATAGTTACTTAATTATTGATGAACTGTTAATTGTTAGATATTTAGATCTTTGAGTAATATTTTTTTTCTGTTTTAGACGAAGATGGAGAAAAATCTGTTTCTGTATTATTGGATGCAGAAGAGTCTGAGTTAATTTTTTTGGATAAATCTAATGCTGTAAGTACCATATAAATAATAATGTATTATATTAAAAACTAATTAAATTTTAGTGGTTGGTTGTATTTTAAAAAATCTTAGCAAAACTTCAAAAATAAAATAATTATATTATATTATACATTTCATACATCAATAAATTATGTAATTGTAAATGAATTGAATTTTAGARATATTTAAATGAATTTCGTTGTTTCATCCGGTTTATCATTAGTTTTAAATTTACTAGGACACCAAACTCYTGCAATATTGGCATATTTATCAGTAGATAAGTATATTGATTTATTATGGTAGAAAKCATTATAGTCTGGTCTAGTTGAATATCTTTTACCTGCGTATTAACCCATGTGTAACTAACGCAATTATGATTCACTCATCCCATTTAATTACTCTATAAATCGTTTATAAAGATTATTTTAAACTAAGAGTTTTAATTTCCGACTAAAAATATTTTGCACGTTTATATAAGTAGCATATAACATGCTATTATTACACAGAAAAACACCAGTACCTATTGTTTACATAATTTATTCAAAGAACTGACATATTGTTAAATTATTAGTGTCATAGAATCATTTAATATATTTGATTACCCATAATCATATAATACTAGGTGGTAGCTTATAATTTGAATATATGATTATGTTCATCGTCATCAGTAATCGGACCTGGTATATATATGTAATAACATTTTTATCTATCAAATMATAAAAAATTGTTACTAAACTTTTTATACTGAATTCATACTATCTATATTGATATTAATTGTATTATGTATTTTACATCAAATCTCAGTCATCATGCTTATAATATTAGCACATAATTATGTACATAATTACTCTGGTTAAAATACCTAAGTATTATAATATGGAATTCGTAATATTTYATAAGATCTTGAAAATTTTGAAAAACTAGTTATTTATTTATTCGTATGACTTAATAATGAGCGCACTAACAAAAATGTTTCATGTTAAGGTTAAATTAAACTATTACTATTACTATTATAAATGTATAACTAATATTCTAAGGTACCATAGCAAGCAAAACATAACAAATATCACGTGAAGTATCACAGATTTAAGTTTAGATGTCTACATCCAAGGCCTCTAACCATGCTACTGCATCAGGGGTCACTTTGATGAAATCCTCCAGGTCACCATCGTATCTTCTCAATTGGCAATCCAGGATTAGGTGCTGCATTGATTGTATATTTGCACCACAGTCGTATCCCGGACTCTCTCTGAACTTTCATTTGTACTTGAGTTCGTTGCATATGCCTGKGCGTATTCTGTTGAGTCAGTAGTGGGTAAATTAAAGGAGGAGGCGTGCGGTGGCAGGGGGAAATAGAGCTGGGTAGCATCTACCGGATGTATCGACCCGGGATCACKCTAAGTGCATGTATAATCGAATAAATTATTAATGCGATAACTATATTGCACTTCCTTACTACTCCACTACTTAGGTATATTATATAATGATACTCGTGATCAATTATTTGCTTTAAGTGTGATAAATATAACTATTCACTTACTTTATGTGAATCAGAATGTGTAATACGTAGACCCTCACTGGATTGACTACGTCTTTGATTGTATGAGTCGATACACGTTATTTATACCTTTTGATTATTTTACAATATCCTATAACAATTAAGTGTACATTTTCTTTATAATACACTRTTGATTCMTACTAATCGAGTTAAGTACCATCTATATTCGTATTTCACATGGACAGGAAAAGATTTGGTGTCTAGCGGATTACTGTGAGATTCAACTGCACATGCATGTGTCTAAGTTTGCTTATATAGTTGTAGTTAAGTTCCAGATGAGGAARGAGCCGGGCAAGAGAATATCCTATCCACTCCTTAGCTCTAAAAGAACGTAACTGCAAGTATACTTTGATAATTCACAGTTTAATAAACAATGAAATACCAAGCAGCGCCTACCTTATATTCTTAGTATGTAAGCATTTTGTCTCGCTTATATAGTTGTAGTTAAGTTCCAGACGAGGAGGAAGCCGGGCCAAGAGAATATCCTGTCCGCTCCTTATCTCTAAGAATGTAACTACAAATATACTT